GACTGAAAAATTTCATTTTTTTTCTGAAAAGATGGTGTCTATTTACTTGTGACCACGTTGTGTACATTAATTAAAAAAATCAAATTAGGAGTTTTTAAACGCTCCTTGACTATGATAGCTTTCTAGCGCCACCTGGTTGTAAAACATTTTCAGCGCTACTGCCATAATTTGTTTCACCTCCGCCAGGCTGCAGACCGTCCCAGTGCTATTAGGCTGCGATTTTTTTTTTCTGATGCAGTCACTGCTCAGAATATCTGCTAGTAAAAAGAATGATTGAAAACTGAATGACCAGTATTATAATGAACAGGCTAGGTCATCCCTTTTTTTGCAACAAGTACTTGGCAAGAAACAATTTTGCTCAGATAACTTTTGAATTATTCACTGACCAATACAATATTAAAAATAAGTGTCCTAGTAGTTTATGATAGGCAATGTCCAGTAGAAGACGGATAAATTATACACTGACTGACCATTTTATTAGGACTCACCACATACACACATACATTTGTAGATCACTTCACCTGTTTACATATCAGAACATACTGATTAGTTGAAGTGTGAGAAAGATGGAGTCCAGTAATTACGGAGACATTGTTATACTATGGTTATTTTACAATTCATGGACATTGTTATACTATACATCAATTCATGGACATTGTTATACTATGGTTATTTTACACAACAATTTATGAACTCTCCGACTTTCAAAGAAATATGTTATTAGGTGTCAATCTAGCAAGAGTACCGTTATCGTATACCATTTCTTTGGCTGTTCAAAGGCATCTATCAACTGTACCAATCGAACCTTGCACTAAGAAAACCTGTTGTTGACTGACTGAAAGAAATGTCCACTGGATTAAGTTTGACAGACGTCCAACGGTGTGTTAATTAATCATTTAATCAACAGAATCTTGACTATTTCTAACGTTCCATAGGAAGAACACAACATAAACTTTTATTTTGCAACTAGCAACCACTCTTAAAATCGCTTATCTTAGTGGCAGAAATAGAAAAGCACAGCGCTAAAAGTGCAAACTGTATACAACAAGTCAGTAGATCTTGCTTATTTTGTTCCTGAGAGAGTATGGTACTGGAGTGGTGTATTAGTATGTGAACATTCTAGTGGCAGATTCCTTAAGAAAAACAAATAATAACCAAAACGTACCTTAAAACAAAGGGCGCCCGCAGGAATGGGCAAGTGCCCCCCCCCCGGATTTTGAAAAAGAAAAAAAATTACGAAATACGTGAAATTCTTCTTCTTTGTTATTGGAAAATCATAAGGTATTTGTAACTACAGGGGTATTCACCCTCCTAATATTTTTTTGTGCGGACACCCTTGCTTAAAACTTTTGATAATTATACGTACCTCACTTTGTTGCACTTTCGTGATTCTTCCAAACGATAATTCAACAATTCAACGCACTTATATCGTCCATTAAGTTTACATGGTTATTAAATATGTCAATGTTCATAGACTAGAAGTAAACAAATTTATATTGGTTCATAAATGTGTACTTGTTTACTGAATTACGCACAAAGGTACTCGAGAACTATCTGCACTAGTCGTCCATAATTTAAAAATGGTAGACTAAAGTGAAGGCAGATAATCAACACCACCCACCGTCAACTCTTAGGCTACTCTTGTCAGACTGAATAGTGACAATTCACCATCACAATTGAGAAGCATGTACGATTCAAGGAGCAGAGCAGGCTTTTATTTTTTGCGGTATCGGGACGCGAACCATAGCTACATAATCCGACATGCTAACCACTAGACCGCGCTCGTCCCGTTCATAAAGGTACGAAAATATCCAAATACCGCAGACTCAAGTATGCGAGATATTTTTCGCTTTCTTGTATTTAGTAGTTTCTTACTTTAGAAACATTTCTTACCAGACAAACGTAAGAGTGAGCGTGAGACAAATAAATGAGTACTACGTCTGGAAGTCACGTGGCTCGTATTTGGCGCCGTTAGAGAGATGAAACCAGTTTGGTTGTTGTTTTCAGGTTGAACAAAATAACAGGAACGTGTTTTAAATAACTGGTACCGAAGCCAACATAGTTTCGGGTGAAAAAAATTGTCCAAATCTTTCTGATTTTTTCTGTTGTTTTTTTCTACTTGCAGACTTCCATTGCAAAGATGTCAAGCTCATGAACATAGGTGCGCAAATCCAATTTTATTCCAAATTTATTCCAATACACTATGTAGTTACGTCGTAAAATTCGTTGTCAAGTTAGAAGTTGGCTATAAATAACGCGCCTTGATGTCAAATTAACATGACGAGCTTGTGGCTTGTATGCAAACAAGGTTGTACTACTTATGCAAAAGCGAGATAGTTCTGTAAATCAAACTATGAATTATGATCCTAAATCACAATACAGTTACTCTGTTAGTGTTTTCTATACAAACCAGGAAGCAATCACGAGTCCGTGTTTATTTCATTATGCCTGTATCCAACTGAAATACTGCTCGAAGCTACTAGATCTTCGTATTATTGACTGCTAGCGTCATACAGGGGTGTTTTTTAATAATGCTCTAACCGTTCATATCAGTTGATATATATATATATATTTTTTTTTCATTCTGTAAATGGTATTCTGGTATATTTAGTACAGAGTTGTAAATTTTAAAAAATCATTATAATCATACAAGTGTAACATCAGAAACAACAAATTTATTTATGTAGATAAAGACTTGTGTAAATACAGCTTTTAATGTGTTAGATAAAATTTTGTATTTTCTCTTGTTCTAAACGTTTTTACAACTACCACTATGGAAACCCTCAAAGATTCAGAGAGGCCCGGCCCACTTCTATCTTTTGAGGCCCCCGACTATAGTAAAAATAAAAAATGATGACACATGAAACAAAATAAGACAATCATTAGCCCCCCCCCCAAAAAAAAAGGTTCACACACGCAGGAAAGAATATCTACACTTCGTGAAGCGTCGTACAAAACTCGAAAAAACACCACCTTATAGTTTTTTATTTGCTTGTTTGTTTGCAATTAAACACAAAGCTACACGATGGGCTATCTGTGCTCTGCCCACCACTGCAGACATGCCGCTGTGCCACTGGGGGGCCCACCTGATAGTGGAAGGTAAGTCTCTCCCAGGTTGGTCACTTTTTAATCAATAATAAAAAAAAAGGAAGAGAGCACTACAGTAAATAAACTCAGATGGAATTACCCTGGTATAACATTTAGTCATGTAAAAAGCCCTGCAACAGCTGGTAAATGACAGAGGACATAGCATTAAGCATAACTAATGATGTCGCATATCCACATTCTACCAGCAATCTTTGAATAATAGAACAGCGTGTATTTTCAACCATATAGTTAAGGATACAAGTAAAGATATAACTGAAATTCATTAACAAGTTCAAGAATAAACAGCCTTTCATATTATTACTAAAAAGTGTAAAAATACACTAAAAATTAATCAATCTTAATATTAAAAATAATTTTGCATGTTATTTTAAAGTAACCAATTCATGACATTAGAAATTTCGATCTGGTTGTTATGCTAGCCCTGTTATATTTTATACTGAACAAATGTACTGATACAATATACCTTCAACTTCTTTAAATAACCTGTCTTTATCACATCAGATAGTGTTTCGTAATCCGGACTGGGCGTGAGGTTTTTTCTGTTATTGGACTCTTTCCGTTTCAGTGACATGATCAAGATTGGTCCTTTTGAAACCTTCCAAATTTATGGAGAATTTTCACGCACGGTTCATGCTCCCACCTGCAGAGTCGGTTTCTCTTTACGTTTTCGTGGAAACAAAGAATACTGCCTTCAGTTATCACAGTTGTTACACCTATACGAGTTGACGATGACGATTAAAACGGGAAGTTGATCGTACAAATTCTCAACGAACGGTACTGTCTTGATCATTTCTTTTAGCTATTAGAATAAGATTGAATGAATTTAGCATGAATGTCGTAAAAGGGCAATGTATTTTATTATCTGATCCACTCAAAATTAAAATAATTAAATAACAACGTTGCCTATGAAATAATTTTACATTAGTATACATTGCATGCACGCACTGTATTACATGTCCATATTTCGTTAATCAAGCATAAAATTACTTTGATTTTCAGTCAGTTGGAAATTAGACGTTCACTGCTTTACTGTAGGGAAGTTAAACTTTAGCAGGATTCAGTTTAAACAAGTCAAATTATCAACCTCCTGAGCACGTGAATGGGGCAAAATTTTATTCTACATAAACCTCAAAAAAAAATTCTAAGCACCAAAAATTTATCTGTACGTGAACTTAGGAAAACGTTAGTTCTATTTTCGTGCATAATCTCAACAAACTATCACCCTGATAAATTTGTGATAAATATGGATTTCTACCGAGTTGAAATAAAATTCACCAACTAAGTTTGTTACTCGAAGAGGATGACAAATCTCAGTCAGATGTTGGTGCCTCTAAATAATATTTTTATAACTATAAAACCAGGTTGAAAAAGGTGGATTTACAGCGGAGAAGAAAAGTGATCAAAGTTTCAGTTTAACAAGCTTCTTATACATCGCTATTTTTTAAACCAATAAACCAGAAAGGTTATTCAATGGTCGTTTAATACTATTACACTAAATGTTAAACAGCCTGTATTTAAGAAAATAATCGGGTTAATATCAAATGAAAATTATCTACAACGAATGGCTTGAGCATCCACTCCCATTACGGTCCAAATTTCACTAATACGTAAATAATATTCATTTTCGTAAAATGGTTTCAAGGCTTTAAATACTCCGAAATATTCAAGAGGTATTAATTATAAATATCTTACCATGTTACAACTTCTTTTCGTGGTAGAGACCTTATAGACAGGAAGGTAAAACCTTGTTATGGAATTGTGCTTCTCCAAGAGCTAAATCGGGTTGCTGAATGAAATGCAACAATTAAGCTGTGAAAGCATTATTAAACAATAATAAAACAAAAAAAACCATTCCAAATCGTTACTGTTTTCTTTAGTTGATTGTACATATTTTACGAAAAAAAGTTTACCATTCATATCTTTCATCATCTGTCCAGAAACGACTTAACGCAAATAAAACTGACCCAATTAAAAACAAAAACTGATGTGATGTGACTTAATGGACACGTTTGATATTCAACAAAAAGGTGAATAAAGTCGGTACAAAAATATGTTTCCATTTATTAATGATATAAAAATATTAGATAGATGTTAAAACAAATATGCGATATTCACAAACTCGTACTTTATTGAAGTGTATCGGTATAAAACTATAAAAAATTGTATATACACCTAAAGAGATTTATAAAATTGCTCTAACGATGTTTTAGGATATTTCTATTTCTCTCCCCTGGTGGTATGTCTGAGGACTTATGATATTAAAAATCGGGTTTCGATACTCGAGGTGGGTACAGCACAGATAACCCACTGTGTAGCTTTGCGCTTAGCAACAAGTAACATTTTTAAGTATTACTAAATACACACTGAAGTGAAATTTACTAATAATTAAAATAACCGTCTACACACGAAGAACTTAAACTAATATGCGACTGTCAAATTTATCAATACAATTACACGTTTGACAGGCACATCGGAACGTACAAAACAGTGGGAGACGGCAGTTGTAAATGAAGAAAATTGTCTGATAATCAATAAAAACGTTTTAAAATATTATTCAACTATTTCACACAATAAGAAGCACTGTATTGTACGTACAAAATAAAAGGTAAATTGTTTGCCGTGTTATAAAATCGCAATTTCACACGTTTGCTTTGTCATGTATGTTTGATATTACATGTTTTTCGAAAGTGAAACGCTAATAAAACATTGTCTACGTTTAATCATGCATGACTGAACAAAAAGCTCAACGTGTACGTAGGAAAACAGTTCAACGGGCTAATACACCGATGTGGACAGGCTACCCGTACACCATTATGTTTTAAATTAGTATTACAAGCAGTGCGGAAGAAAAGAGAAGATTCATATATATGTAATTAAACAAAAGCAAATTAAGAACTGGTCGGAGGTTATTCAAGAAGAGAATTTGGTTCAAAGTATAATACACAACAGACCCGTAAGAAGATTTGTATAGGGATTCTTGAATAAAAGAGCATTTACAGTCAAGTCTGTCCGATTTTTAAATTATCTATCAACACATAAATGGTGGATGTGCGAGAGCAGGAAGTAAAACACAATTTAATATAGTGTTCTGCAAAAATAAATCAATAAAAATAAAAACTTAAAATTAAAGAGACTCTCTGTATTCAGAAGTTAAAACCTAATATTAATTATTCATCGTTGGAAATGTCTGTTAAGATATGAAACTAAAGATTTGCTCTAATTTTCCACAGAAACACTTAAAATAGCGAATGTTATAGAAGACTAAATGTGGCAAAGTCTCTTAACAAAAAATGACAAACTTTAAGAGAGTTTCCAGCAAAACAAACTTGAATTGACTTATTATCATAAACCTTCCCCCAAAACTTTGTTTACCACCTAAGTTAGTTACTTGTACAAGACGAGGTAATAAATACTAAATATTTTATGTACATAACCGAGTGTCAGCGTTTCATTTCATGAGCTCGTGGATTGGTAATTTAAACACTTACCTGGTTTCGTACTTTTGTGTTAAAATTACATAAATAGCCTAAGAAAATTGATACAGTCTGTCTTTTCGATTTTATACACGTTATTTAATACCAGTTTTTAAGCTATATTTTAAAGTAATAATGCACCACAGTTCAGTAAAAAGTGTTCGCTTACACATCAAAAGTTCACGTGGTGACTTTTTCGTCTGAGTGTCAATGCTACCGACAGTAAATTAGGCCAACGTGTACCGGTGCTTGCTGAAAACACATCGTGTCCAAATCACATACATTCATTTTAGTTTCTTACAAAATACAAACTGTTATGTTACATTTACGAAAAATTATACTAACCGCATGCTCAACCATTACTCGTTAATCCTAAACATTGTACATAATTAAACATTTAGAGATAAATATAAATTAGTAATAATTGCTGTACATTAGGCAGAATAACTTACACGCATGCGGCATGTCCCACATGGAATGCAAGCTCTACAACTTACAGAACGACCCTGTCTTTGGCGCTTGTGATCAAATTGTTTATTAGCACTGTTTCTTTAGGATGACGACAGAGGGCAGGAATATCCAATGCTAGATTTGTCTATTGAACAAGTTAAAAATTTAAAGAGAGAAAAAAAGAAGAAATAAACAAGCAATAGAAACAATTATCATTTTGTTACAGCTTAAAAGGAAATGGTCAAGCTATCCAAAACATGTAACGCATAAAAATACTATGTTATAATCTAATGTAGCTAAAATAAATAAATAACACGTGATCTTTGATTCTAGTATATTAAAGTTGTTGCATATTAAAATGTACTCTTGGAAAATGTGAAAGATAAATGTTGAAACATATTTGAATGTAGTTTCTTTTATCGACAACAGTAGTATTACTCACTAATGAGTTCCATGTTCTTTGCTGCCCTTTGGAACTATTTCCTCCTTTTTATTCTAAAAACCCTCAGCAAAGGACGACGGGGTCAATATTAGGACATATATCTTGACAACTTTCACAGATCTTCCATTGCACATGAACGTCAGCCTCTAAGACTAAGTTTAACCAGACCCAAGTCACAATAGTCCATTGAAGATGATGTTGCTATGATTCTAGTTTCTTCGGTCATCTTTCTTGTAAAAAATAACTGTTAATTTCCATATGTCAGTAGAACCTTCTAAGTCATTATAAACTTCAAATCCACGTTTAATTTCCTGAACTGTAGCAGTAAATAGTTAAATAATATAAAAAGTAATACTCCTCGGTGGCTCAGTAGTATGTTTGAAGGATTATAACACTAAAAAATAGGTTTAGATATCCACGATGGGCAGAGCACAGACAGCCCATTGTGTAGCTTTGTGCTTAACAAAAATACTCATAAAAATTCATACCGGTAAATGTTGGGCTCGAATCTGCAAAGAAATTGTTTTACGATCTAGAAAATAAATCTCGTAATACTGTTAAGCAGAGAAATAGTTTTATACTGAATGACAGAACCTCTAGATATATAGTCAAAGCTTATTTAGTCATTTGATGTCGAGATATTTCGTCATATGTCATTTTTCGAAATTTGATTTCTAATATTATTATTTTTTAATGTTTCTAAGATTATTCTGTGTTCTAAGACTATGTCATATTCTTTGATCAACACATAACTTTAAAAGAAGTTGTATATGTCTACAACTAGAACCAAAATTGGAGGTTAAGTCGGGAAATGTTTTCCGTATTGATGCATTTTAAAAGAATATTTGTCAGGTTAGAGAAAGAACACGAAAAACTATCTGGGTAATTTTTGTTTGTCTGCGATAACTTTTTATTATATGTAATTATACTTCGTTTATTTAGTTAAGTATAACTATTGTTACGTCGCCGTTTGTTAATTGATTTTTCCGTAACTTTGTTCCGATGAAATTTTAACGACACAAGTCTTTACTTAATAAAACTGGTTTATTCTTTCCGAATACAACTTTACGATACTCTTATTTTCAACAATCGCGCTAAAACAAACGCTATATCAACGAACGTCAATAATACTTCTGACTGCAGTTCAATTACTCACTATCTACACACACATTACATTACATTACCGCGTCACGTTGTCACCCTCTTATATATACCAGACTACCCTATCTAGTAAATACTAGAGCATTCATGAAGGAACAAGATAGTTCTAGAAGCTAGAGGGCGCCACACCAGTCACGTGACCTCGATGACGCAACAATATTTTAATATTTCGTTTAAATGTTAATCAGTAATGATGCTTCAAAATAATAAGAAATAATCTTAATAATAAATGAAGATGTAGTTGTGAAATGACTTTTATATTGCACTGTATTCTTTAGCCTAAAAATATATGATTGAAATGGTACAAGAATATCTAGTAGGAAAATAAAGCGCACGACACTGACTTGGATGTGGATTTAAAAACTGGAAACAGGTAAGTTAATGCATCACTAAACTGTAATCAACTGTGTTTGGTATAATATATTGGAAATCTATCGTAATAATACCCAGTTTTGTCTGTCCTGTCCTACAATTTAATACAAATGTGCACGATCTTCATTTCAACAGATGTAAACAAAAGGCGAATATAAATATACTTTAGTAGACATTTTGTACAACATATTAAAAAATAAAAGCTTCTAAATTTAAAAAAAAAGTCTAACGTTAAGTCGTAGGATAACATTACATGTTTATTTATTGATAGTACGGTTAAGTTTAGCACTAATTAAAGTAAGGCAAAAAAAAGAGTACACAAATTACAATGTTAATTTATCTCTTTATCGAATTTAGGCCGTACTTAATAAAGGCTTAACTAATGTTAGGCCTAAGACAAGTGGTCTTCAGATTACGATGTCTGCGTTTAGAATTCTTTGGTATTGTTCTAGAAATCTTATATTTAAAGAAGTACTGTTGCAATAAATATACTAATTTGACCGCAAATGTTTTGCGGGTCTCTGTTAGAAAAAAATTAACAGACAAACTATTTTTTGGTAGAACACCATAAGAACGGTGGAAATATAAATAAATATAAAAAAGAGCCGATGGTAACTAAAATGGTATTAATTAAAAATTGATAAATATCGTATATAAACGATCATTCAACATTTTGAAAAGGAAACTTAGGTTTGTAATTATTCTTATTAATTTAAAAACTACCAATAGTTGATAGAATATAAGTAAGCTATTCGCAGCCACTTAAAATTCAGTGAATATACTCGTTTCAAAGTCACGTGAATCTTTCATCTCGTCTTCTAGTCTCGATTTTCACTGAAATGGAAATATTTAAAGAATAAAGTGTGTCGTCCTTAAGACTTTCCATGAAGCGGAAGGAACATACAATAGAATGTCTGGTCCTTAAGATTTTTCATAAGCGGAAGGAAACATACAATAGAATGTCTCGTCCTTAAGACTTTCTATGAATCGGAAGGAAACATACAATAGAATGTCTCGCCTTAAGACGTTCTATGAAGCGGAAGGAAACATACAATAGAATGTCTGGTCCTTAAGACTTTCTATGAAGCGGAAGGAAACATACAATAGAATGTCTGGTCCTTAAGATTTTTCATAAGCGGAAGGAAACATACAATAGAATGTCTCGTCCTTAAGACTTTCCATAAGCGGAAGGAAACATACAATAGAATGTCTCGCCTTAAGACGTTCTATGAAGCGGAAGGAAACATACAATAGAATGTTTCGTCCTTAAGATTTTCTATGAAGCAGAAAGAAACATACAATAGAATGTTTCGTCCTTAAGACTTTCTATGAAGCGGAAGGAAACATACAATAGAATGTTTCGTCCTTAAGACTTTCTATGAAGCGGAAGGAAACATACAATAGAATGTCTGGTCCTTAAGACTTTCTATGAAGCGGAAGGAAACATAAAATAGAATGTCTCGCCTTAAGACGTTCTATGAAGCGGAAGGAAACATACAATAGAGTGTCTCGTCCTTAAGACTTTCTATGAAGCAGAAGGAAACATACAATAGAATGTCTCGCCTTAAGACCTTCTCTGAAGCGGAAGGAAACATACAATAGAGTGTTTCGCCTTAAGACCTTCTCTGAAGCGGAAGGAAATAACATCAGAGTGTTTCACTTTTAGGATTAGATGAGTATGTGATTTTGAGCCTATTTTTCTGCTCTTCTTTGCAAGTTAACAAGTTTTCACGTTAAAAGACTATGACATGTTCTTCCGGCCATAAGTCTATAGTGGCAGTATTGCACTGTTCAAAGGCTGGGAGTTCACCGTGAACTGGGAGTTCGCCCCCTAGCGATACAATTTGTATCTACAGAGATATATCTGTGTATTAGCATATAAAGATATGTTTATAAAATGCGACTAACCCTGTGAATAGAGGGTTCATTCATTATTGAAAATATCAAACGAACAGTCTGGAAGGGATGAGTCCAAGGGAAGCTCGAAGAACATAGTATTGTTTATAATATAAAGTTGTTTTTATTCTGACTATTATTATTATTTATTTTTATACGCATATATTAACTTTGAAGATACAAACTATCATTGTTTGAAGTCCATAAAACTATCATTGTTTGAAGTCCATAAAACTATTATTGTTTGAAGCCCATAAAACTATTATTGTTTGAAGTTCATGAAACTGTTATTGTTTTAAGTCCATAAAACTATTATTGTTGAAGTCCATACAACTATTATTGTTTGAAGTCCATAAAACTATTATTGTTGAAGTCCATACAACTATTATTGTTTGAAGTCCATACAACTATCATTGTTGAAGTCCATACAACTATCATTGTTGAAATCCA